ATGGGGGGAGGATTATGGTGTTAATGAGGATGGTGTAGTGGGGAATATGGGTTCTGGAGTCAGTGCAAGCGGCCCACTGACAATGTTTGGTTTGTGATGTTGGTGAAGTAGTGGTATTGTGGAAGTGGTGTTGTGGAGGTGGTGTTGTGAGGGTGTTGTGATAGTGATGTTGTGGTAATGGTGGTTTGGAGGTGTTTTGGTGGTGCTGTAGCGGTGGTGTAGCGGTGGTGTAGTGGTGCTGTAGTGATGCTGTAGTGGTGCTGTAGTGGTGGTGAAGTGGTGCTGTAGTGGTGCTATAGCGGTGGTGTAGTGGTGCTGTAGTGATGCTGTAGTGGTGCTGTAGTGGTGCTGTAGTGGTGCTGTAGTGGTGCTGTATTGGTGCTGTAGTGGTGCTGTAGTGGTGGTGAAGTGGTGCTGTAGTGGTGCTGTAGCGGTGGTGTAGTGGTGCTGTAGTGGTGCTGTAGCGGTGGTGTAGTGGTGCTTTAGTGATGCTGTAGTGGAGGTGAAGTGGTGGTGTAGTGGTGCTGTAGTGATGCTGTAGTGATGCTGTAGTGGAGGTGAAGTGGTGGTGTTATGGTAGGGGGACGAGTATAGCAGCGATCGAAGACATAAACTGAAGGTCTTGAACGTTGTGAATAATGTCAGCAGGATTGTCTTGAACACCCCCAACAAGAATACCTCAAGACACCCCTAACACGAGCAACTCAAAACGCCAACAAGACGAACATCTCACGAAACCCCTAACAGGAGCGTCTCAAGATAATGCCACAATAGATTATCAAAACACCTGAAAGAGCGTCTCAAAATACACAAGCATGTGCGTCTCAAGACCCCCCAACAAGAGCATCCCAAGACAGGAGAAAAAGACAAACTCCTCCAGGGGAAAAAAAGAGACAATATCCCCCCAAGCAATCTCGTCATGGAAAATAGTGGACCTTACTGGATTCTGATTTTCGATGTCAATTCCCATATTCTAAACCGATTCCGAAATTTCCCTTTTTCCCCTTTAAATCCTCCTCCTCCCCTCCAACCTACCCGAAAATATCCCCTCCTCTCTCTCCCCTACCCCCTCACACACCTAGATCGCTTTCTCCCCACCGCAAAGCCTCCTTCCTCCCTGGAAACACTCGATCAACTGCGAAAAACCTCCCCACCGTTTTGTCACTTGCCATCGGAGATATTTGCATATGATTGAGGTCGGTCTGGCCCCACAATTTGGTAAAATTTGATTAGCATAGCCTTCAAGTGCATCCAAAAGTTGGCGGAGGAGCTTTTCATAACGCATCGGACGCGTTCAGAGATTTTCGTCAGGTAAGGAGGTGGTGGAGGACAGGGGGGTTAGGAAAGCCGAGGTGGTTTATACGGCTGTTGTGGTGAGCGAACGGCATGGCGAGATGAGTGGTGGTTTCGGGGCGAGAAGAGTGCGTGATTGTTGGGAGAAGTTTCTGTGGGTGGGCTTGTCTGTTCCCAGCCGGTGATTTTCGTCCCAGCTTCCGTCAGCGCTGATGTGCGCAAATATTTGTTTATTTTGTTTATTTATTTATGGGCTTATCTTTCTCTCTCACTCTCACTCTCTCTCTCTCTCTCTCTCTCTCTCTCTCTCTCTCTCTCTCTCTCTCTCTCTCTCTCTCTCTCTCTCTCTCTCTCTCTCTCTCTCTCCTATTTTTTTATATATATTTGCAGACTTATACCATTCCCTTCCCTCCAAGTGACTAATATTTATCCCTAGAACACTACTCACGTGAATTTACAACCATGTCCCCCAATTATTGATGCACGAACTGGAGAGAACAGTCATTTTCTTTACAGACATGAATTATTTCTACTTTTTGGGTGAATTATTTCATGCACTGAGGTGGATTATTTCAGGCATTGAGGGGGGGTATTATTGGCAGGTATTGGGGGACCATTCTATATATATTACAGCAAAAACTGGTTATTGCGAGCCAAACTCTGTTTTTCCTGCTAGCCTCCCCCCCCCCTCTAACTAGTTGCTGATAACCATTAACAGGCTGTTGCAAGCCTGAAAGGGTTGTTACGGCTCAAAACTGATCGTTGCAAACTAGAATTACATTTTTGGAAGTCTTTTAATGGGTTGTTGCAAACCATAGGTGGTATATGCTAACAGAACCTGTTGCTACGGACTAGAATTATTGCTACAGATCACAACTGGTCTGGACGGCTAAGTGGAAAGCGCTCGGGATTCGTAGTCCTAAGATTATGGGTTCAATCCTCGGTGGAGGCGGAAATAAATGGGCAGAATTTCTTTTAACCTGATGCGCCTATTCACAAACAGTAAATAGGTACCCGGGAGCTAAATAGCTGCTATGGGCTGCTTCCTGGGGGTGTGTAACAAAAAGGAAGCCTGGTCGAAGACCGGGCCGCGGGGACGCTAAGCCGCGAAATTATCTCAAGATAACCTCAAGAGCGATAACCTACATGTCAGAACTGATTGCCACTTACCAAATATGCACTTTTCCTGATAAGTTTATGAATGTTCTTTAATAAGTAACTGTATGAAATATTATATTAAAAGCATTTTTCTAATTATTATTTTTATCTTTTTCTATTTTTATTTATTATCATTATTATTAACATATTTTTAAGACCAATATTTTTTTCTTATCTGTATCTACTACACAAGACCTTCAACATGAGTTATTTTCTCTTTTTCAGTGATGTAGGAAACACGATGATAAATGTCATTTAAACAGCCTTAGGATTGCGTTAAGAAAAAGAGAGAGAGCGGTTTTTGTCCATATTTGTATATTTATGTGTAGGGTACGTCGAGTGGAGAGAAGGGGTAGGCGGTCATTCACTTACTTGCCGTAACCTGGGAAAGAAAAAGCAAAGATATCAGACACGGTACAATCAAGAAACAAACGCAGTAATCACTGTACAATCAAGAAACAAGGAATTAAACACTGTACAATCAAGAAACAAACGCATTAAACACTGTACAATCAAGAAACAAACGCAGTAAACGCTGTACAATCAAGAAACAAACGCATTAAACACTGTACAATCAAGAAACAAACGCATTAAACACTGTACAATCAAGAAACAAACGCAGTAAACGCTGTACAATCAAGAAACAAACGCATTAAACACTGTACAATCAAGAAACAAACGCATTAAACACTGTACAATCAAGAAACAAACGCAGTAAACACTGTACAATCAAGAAACAAACGCATTAAACACTGTACAATCAAGAAATAAACGCATTAAACACTGTACAATCAAGGAACAAGGAATTAAACACTGTACAATCAAGAAATAAACGCATTAAACACTGTACAATCAAGGAACAAGGAATTAAACACTGTACAATCATGAAGTAAGAACATTAGACTTGGTACTACCAAGAAGTAAAAAGTGAACTCAAACAGAAAAAATTTCTTCCCTTAAACTACGTATAAAATGCCCAATGTATATTAAAGTTGTAATACATTAGTAGAGTAAATATAACACAAAAAGTATTTATAATACACATCAATTTAATTAAATAAATGTATAATTGGAATATGTAAATTCATATATAAACAAATAAATCATAAATCAATTAAATAAACGAAAATGCAATTAGGCAATGAACAAATTTTTATGAAAATAATGAATAAATATTGAATTATAATCTTTAGAGTGAGGGACTAGAGAGAGAGAGAGAGAGAGAGAGAGAGAGAGAGAGAGAGAGAGAGAGAGAGAGAGAGAGAGAGAGAGAGAGAGAGAGAGAGAGAGAGAGAGAGAGAGAGAGAGAGAGAGAGAGAGAGAGAGAGAGAGAGAGAGAGAGAGAGAGAGAGAGAGAGAGAGAGAGAGAGAGAGAGAGAGAGAGAGAGAGAGAGAGACAGACAGACAGCCAGACACAGAGAGCGAGAGAGAGAGAGAGAGAGAGAAACCCTGCATTCCTTCACTTCTTCATGGGTATCAACCCTACAGATGCCCTGTTTACATGCATGCCGGCAGAGTAACAAGCGTTCCCCGAAGTCAGGAATCCGGCAGCTCACACGCGTTCGCGTTGATCCGGATGACAACGAACGACAGATTAGACGTTTCTGATGCTGATAATGATGAGCTGATGCGATAGCCCTTTACGTTAGCCATCGTCCACGATTCACAGCGTCGGATCAGTCGAGCGGAGGACTTGTATGGAGTGTGTTTGAGGGGCAGGAGGGATGGAGGTATGTGTGTGTGCGTATTATTTGTGCCTGCAGGATAAAGCTCTTAGCTCTTGGACCCCGGCATTCTAACCGTCGGAGCTCTTATGTACTGATTCTTACCTATTTTCCTGAAATCATATCTATTAAATATGTTTTTCTCTAATATCACACACTTATCCCCAGGAAGTAGCCCGTAACATCTGTCTAACTCCCAGGTATGTATTTACTGCTATGTAACAGGAGCATCAGGGTGAAAGAAACTCTGCCCATTTCTTTCCGCTTCCACCGGGGAACGAACCTGGGCCCTTAGGACTACGACCCCAGAGCGCTGTTCCCTCAGTCCCGAAGCCGTGTGTGCGTGTGAGTGTGTGTGTGTGTGTGTGTGTGTGTGTGTGTGTGTGTGTGTGTGTGTGTGTGTGTGTGTGTGTGTGTGTGTGTGTGTACCAACCTAGTTGTACTCACCTATTTGAGCTTGGGGGGTTTAACTTCGGCTCTTTGGTCCCGCCTCTCAACTGTCAATCAACTAATGTACAGATTCCTGAGCCTACTGGGCTCTTTCATATCTACATTTGAAACTGTGTATGGAGTCAGCCTCCACCACATCACTGCCTAATGTATTCAATCTGTTAACTACTCTGACACTGACAAAGTTCTTTCTAACGTCTATGTGGCTCATTTGGGTACTCAGTTTCCACCTGTTATTGTTTATTATTATTATTATTATTATTATTATTATTTATTATTATTATTATTATTATTATTATTATTATTATAAATTAAATTTGATTGTTATTGTTATTAGTATTACTTATTATAACTAATAACATGAAGAAGACTCACCTCCACCATGGCTACCTCCAAGACCAATACTCAGCCCTGGCCCGTAGCCATAACTAGAATATCCACCATGGCCTCCGGAACCTCCGTAGAAACCGCCTGAGAATCCTCCACCGGAACCTCCACCGTAGCCTCCACTATATCCTCCGAAGCCCAAACCATAGCCTCCTCCACCTAGTCCCGGGGCAGCTTCAGCGATAGCAAGAGCTGCTATTGCTACCAACACTACGAACATCTGTGTGGAGGGCATCAGGTGAGTGAGGTATGGGTTATGGTAGGAGAGGATGAGATATGAGCAGTCTTGAATGGTAATGAGGAATGACGGGTTTCAAGAGCTGATAATGAAGAATGAGGAGTCATGAGAAGAGATCATGAGGGATTACAGGTGACTCAAGTTGGCGCCTTCCAAACATCATATGCAAAGAAAGCTAGTAAAACATACAAACATCCTGTAATCTACCGTATATCAAAGACTAAATTCTGGAAGGTATATATATGGAGAGAAACAAGATCCATCTTAAATATACAGAATAAAGACTGTTTTCTTGGAAATACTTCTTAAGAATATTAAGGATCCTTAAACATTATTTCCTTAAGAATATATATATATATATATATATATATATATATATATATATATATATATATATATATATATATATATATATATATATATATACATTACCTCTGTTGCATTCTGTGAGAGTAAGGTTTAATTCAATTTTCAACTCAAAACTGGAAGTGTGATTAATTAGAAACACGACCGAATCAGTTAAAAAACAACGCCATTCCGGCTGAGTATCATATATATTGGTCCAAAATATTACCTTTTGACGGCACACCGGCTCATGTGGACTATATTGATAAATAAAACAAAAAAATCTGTGATTCAAATCGGCCAGTGCGCCTTCTACGCCTCGTGACTTTTATTGGGTTTGCAATTTTTTCGAACCTGGGGATTTAGCGAACCATTTCGAAATTAAATATGTCAGTAACGAGCAACAATGGAGGTAAAAATTATATATTTTAGTCTTTTATATATATATATATATATATATATATATATATATATATATATATATATATATATATATATATATATATATATAGAGAGAGAGAGAGAGAGAGAGAGAGAGAGAGAGAGAGAGAGAGAGAGAGAGAGAGAGAGAGAGAGAGAGAGAGAGAGAGAGTATCGTTGGTAAACAGTTATACGTTACCCTAAATAATGGAGAAGTAGAAAGGACATGATCCAGACATACAAAGTTCTCAAAGATATCAATGAAATAAACATAAATACAATATTTAGGTTGACAAGTTTATATGCATGAAAGCTAGGAACGCAGAATTTAAACAAAAATTGAAGGAAACCTGTTGAGTTACAAAAACAGGTGCTATTATAGAAAAGTTACACTCAATCAAAACAGCAAGGAACAGTTGTAGAAGTATGGCCATCCGGAACTCACAGTCCTATTCATTGTGAAGTGTTGAGAAACGTTTGACGAGAGAGAGAACCTCCAGTTACTCTTCCTATGAACGTCAACAGTTGACTGGCTCCAGTGCCTGCTGGGCTGGCTTTTATACCCCACGATAGTCTGCCGGGAGCCTTCCTACCTTCCTCCTCCTCTCTCCATTATCTCCCCCTCTCTCTCTCTCGCTTTTCCTCTCTCTCTCGTTCTTTTTCTCTCTTTTTCCATTCCTCACTCTCTCCCTCCCTCCCTCTGGTACCCCTTGATTTCTGTCTCCACTTTCTTTGTTTTCTCAATTATCATTTAGTTTATAGTTCTTGTCTTTCCATCCATTTTCCCTCTATATCTGACCTCCTCCATTCCTTTCCGGTAATGGGAACTACGGGAAGGGAAATAAGCAGGTAATTATCAAAAGAATGCACCAAGCCGGGAAGGCTATGTAGCACTTTCTGGAAAGGAAGAAAATATGTGAAAGGAAAAAAGAAAATGGACAAAAATAGAAGAGGATAAGGAAAATAAGGTACAAGGAAGAGGAGAGGAGTAGAAAGAGAAGACAAACAGGAAGAGAAGGGGGAGAGGATAAGAAAGAGAAAAGAATAAAATGAGAGAAGGTAAAAGAGGGGGTTACGAAGACGAACAGAGGAGAAAGAAGAATACGAAAAAGGCAGATGGAAGGCGCCTGAGACAAGATCATGCAAACCGTAATTTTTACAGGTCACTGTAGTAAATATATTGGTGACTGTGCAGAGATGGGGGGAAACCTTTAATCTGTTCAGAGGTTGGGTCACGAGAGATATTTTCTTGAACTTTTATTCTGTCTTTGTATTATTCTGAACTTCTGAACGTCTGTTAAGCGTCTTCAGGGTGTGTTATGTGTTGGTCTGTGTCTTGGGAGTACTTGCAGGCTGTGTGTGTGTGTGTGCATGTGTGTGTGTGTTTGGTAAAGCACATATGTGCATATATTCCTAGGTGAACTGAGCAAGGTGTTCCTGCAGGGAGAATAAGCTACGGATCCCGTTTCTCAACTCATACTTGATTTGCGAGTTGGTTTCGGACCCAGTTGGGCTCTCTCATAAATTATTCACCCTCTCTGCCTTAAAAATAAACACACACACACACACACTCACACACACACACACACACACACACACACACACACACACACACACACACACACACACACACACGCACACACACACACACACACACACACACACACACACACACACAGGGTGGCTGAGTGGAAAGAGCTCTAAACTCGTGGAGCTAGGAGTCGGGGTTCGAGCCCCGGCGCCTGCGGAAAAACAAATGGGCAGAGTTTCCTTCACCTTGAAGCTCCTGTTACCTAGCAGTAAATAGGTACCTAGGATTTAGACAGCTGCTACTGGCTGCTTCCTGTGTGTGTGTGTGTGTGTGTACTCACCTATTTGTACTCACCTATTTGTGCTTGCGGGGGGTTGAGCTTTGGCTCTTTGGTCCCGCCTCTCAACTGTTAATCAACTGGTGTACAGATTCCTGAGCCTACTGGGCTCTGTCATATCTACATTTGAAACTGTGTATGGAGTCAGCCTCCACCACATCACTGCCTAACTATTCCATCTGTTAACTACTCTGACACTAATAAAATTCCTTCTAACGTCCCTGTGGCTCATGTGGATACTCAGTTTCCACCTGTGTCCCCTTGTTTGCGTACCACCAGTGTTGAATAGTTTATAATTGTCCACCCGGTCGATTTCCCCGAGGATTTTGTAGGTAGTGATCATGGCTCCCCTTACTCTTCTGTCGTCTAGTGTCGTAAGGTGCATTTCCCGCAGCCTTTCCTCGTAACTCATGCCTCTTAATTCTGGGACTAGTCTAGTGGCATATCTTTGAACTTTTTTCAGCTTCGTCTTGTGCTTGACAAGGTACAGGCTGCATGCTGGAGCCGCATACTCCAGGATTGGTCTTACATATGTGGTATACAAGATTCTGAATGATTCCTTACACAGGTTCCTGAAGGCTGTTAACCAGCCTCGCATATGCCGCAGACGTAATTCTTTTTATGTGGGCTTCAGGAGACAGGTTTGGTGTGATATCAACTCCTAGATCTTTCTCTCTGTCCGTTTCATTAAGTACTTCATCTCCTGTGTGTGTGTGCGTGTGTGTGTGTGTGTGTGTGTGTGTGTGTGTGTGTGTGTGTGTGTGTGTGTGTGTGTGTGTGTGTGTGTGTGTGTGAGTGTGTGTGTGTGATAAAAAAAATTAGTTAGTAGTAGTTAATAACAGTTGATTGGTTGACAGTTGACAGGCGGGCCGAAAGAGCAGAGCTCAACCCCCGCAAGCACAACTGGGTGAATACAACTAGGTGAATGCAAACACATGTACACTCAAACGCGTGCCCGCGCGCACGTGCAGACACGCACAAACCACAAAGCAGGATACAACTTTTGTTTTCGTTCAAAAGAGGTCCATTCAATTACATTTGCTCCATTCTCTGTGGAATTATCACAGACTATTGACGATGAAAGGCCACTGAGGCAGGTATAGTCTACCTCAATAGACTGTAAAGAGACTTTTAGTTCCTTAGAGGAGTTGAAAGAAGGGGGGAGAGGGTGGGAGGGGTGTGTTCATGGAGTAATGTGTGTGTGTGTGTGTGTGTGTGTGTGTGTGTGTGTGTGTGTGTGTGTGTGTGTGTGTGTGTGTGTGTGTGTTGTGTGTGTGTGTGTGTGTGTGTGTGTGTGTGTGTGTGTGTGTGTGTGTGTGTGTGTGTGTGTGTGTGTGTGTGTGTGGTGTGTGTGTGTGTGTGTGTGTTTATTTATTTTTAATGACAACCTACAACCCTCTACTTCCTTCTTCCCTTTCTATCGATCTATTCTTAGTCTTTCTCTTGACAATTCCTCAATCCTTGTTCATTAATTTTTCACTCATTCCTCTCTCTTTCTCATTCCTCTTCATTCTTCCTCTCTCTCTCTCCAATTTCTTGCCTAACTTCCACTCTCCCCACCCCCTTCCCTCTCTCTCTTACCCCTCTCCATGTTCCTTTCTCTGTTCTTTTGTCTCACAGAGAGGAAGCGTGATTCGTAGGAAGTATTTAAGAGCACCACTACACAGGGTCTAACACCAGTGTGCAGTGGTCAGCCGAGGAAACAGCAGCATACCTTCCACCACCACAATCTACACTACTACCACCACCACCACAACTTTCTACCACTACTACCTTTAATCACCTCTACTCCAAGACCCACTCTTCAAGATGAAGGAAGTGAGTTGCAAAAGATCTTTTTCTTCTATATTTTGTTTCAGTCTTTTTTTTTTATTATATATCTTGAAAAGCATTCTTATGGCTCGTTTTACTTTATATTATGTATGAAAACTTATCACTTGAATTCGCTGCATTTCTTTCATTTAAGCAACAACTCCATATAATTTATTTGAATTTGACTTAGATGACTGGATCTTGCACTTACATTGCTTTAAATTGAACATAAATATGATTTTCGTGAATGTAAATTTACTTTTCTTTGACTTAAATGGTATTGTATTTAATTTAGATCTTAGACGATCGGTTTCTTAGGCTCTGATAGTCTTTTCTTGATTATTGGCATAATTTGCATTGACATTAAACATTTGCATTAAATAATTCATTTTTTATCGCTATTAAATTTATTTCTTTAAATATGAATGATTTTTTTTAGCTCATGAGTTTCTTCGATTTTATTTTTATTTTTGGACATGATAGTTTTCAATAATAATAGTTAATTTTTTTTAACTTTGGTACTTCATCAATAAAAACACCTTTACTGGTAAATTTACGCGTTTCACAGTGAATTTTTATCTAATTATGTGTAATAATTAAAGTAATTATATTTTCCTACACTTTAAAAAAGTTTCTAAAGCCTGAATTATTGTCTACATTTTGACCCACGATAATTTTTCCAATTACCAAGTTAATATTGATCTTTCCAGGTCCCTTTCCATGACCTTAAATTACATAGATTATCAATGATCACCTGTTCTCCCATTACAAGATATCACGTCCCCTCACCAGATATCTCCCCCTCACCTCAAATCCCCCTTTTTCCCCTCAGGTTCTCATAACCATCGTAACCCTGGCGGTCGTGGCGACAGCACATGCATCGCCAGGAGGCATCGACGCCTATGGCAACGGTGTAGGCGGGGGGTTCGTCGGCGCCTCTGTAGGGTATGGCTACGATGGCAACCACGGAGGGGAAGGGGGCTACGCCGGCAACTACGGTGGACAGGGCTACGGTGGCGCCTACGGTGGCTTCGGAGGCTATGGAGGGGGTAACTACGGTGGGGGTTACGGTGGCGGCTACGGTGGTGGAGGCTTCGGTGCTTACGGTGGCAGTATCGTAGGCAGTCGCGGAAACGGAATTGGTAAGTAAATACACTATATGCACATATTTACATATATACATGATATATATATATATATATATATTCATGTAATCATATAAATAATTTATATTACATATAAATTCTAAGCAGTGATGTCAATTTTTAATAATATTTTTGCATTTTTTTTATGTCGTCATTGAATCATTGTTTTATATTAAACTTTACTGCAATATATCCCAAGAAAGTTTTGGGTGTTTGTTGATTTTACGCATTTTTCGCTAAAAATATTTTAGACGTTACCAAAAATAATATTTGGGCTGACAGATATTAAATTAAAAAAAATCATAGATTACAATAAATATTGTTGCTTTTAGTGTCTGCTTGTTGTTGAATATCAATAATTAAGAATGTTTATATCTATATCTAACTTGTTTATGTCTTTGCAGGTTACGGTAAAGGCCGATGAAGCAAATAAGTTCTCACTACTGGACGCTCACAATGATATAAACATCACAGTCACAGCGAAATAAACATTAAACTCATGAAGATATAATAAGCATCACGTCCACCACTGAAGACATATTGCGCTCACAATAAAGTAAACATTATTTAAAAATCCACTCAGATGTGTAGTGTGTGTGTGAATCTTACTGAGACTTGGCTGGGTAACTGTTGAAATAAACGAAGTTTGAAGGGAATATTCTAGTGTATCTTTTATTCGCCTGGGGACGCAATGTAAAGCTGCTGGCAGAATCAAGGATCAAAGTAAAGTTGTTGACAGAATCAACCTCCAAATGGACATGGTAGTCTTTCGAATAATTTTTGTCACATTACTTTTGGGAAAAGCCAACTCGTTCCATATACCAAGGGTCTTCTTGTGAAGTCCTGTTCATATGTTTGGCTTTGATACCCGTATCCTTCATTCCGATGTCCTTGGCTCTTCTCTGACATCCATATGTCTTGTATCGTAATATCTCTTCCTCCCTAACCCATATCTCTGGCTCCACCATCTATATATCTGGCTCCACCATCTCTTAATCTGGCTCCACCATCTCTTAATCTGGCTCCACCATCTCTTAATCTGGCTCCACCATCTCTTAATCTGGCTCCACCATCTATATATGGTTTCACTAACAATGTCATGATCCACTATATATTTCTGGCTCCAGTTTCCATATCTCTGGTTCAGATATCTGTCCCCACTAACCATATCTCAATCTCGGCTACCATATATCTGGCTATATTCGCTTCACAGTAACGAATGACTATCCTGAAGACCTATTTACATGTCTTGGTGTATTACATCGACTTACCAGCCCACAAAGTTAACCTAATTGCAGCAATCAACGGGAAGAATCGCCTCATAGAATCTGCTATGGGACAAGGGGAAATGGCCAGCTTCTCACTCAAAAACTTGTCGACAGTGATTGAGACCGTTTTCTTATGAGCGATCTTACATCTCAAACAGCTCCCTTCGTCAAGAACATCTTGGGCTAAGAGGGTAATTACAGGAGGTACAAATGAGTCCTTTAAATACATAACAGAAATTTGCTGACAAGCTCGATGGCTGTCGTGTGAAGTATGTTCCGGTGTGTAGTGTATCTGAGTTATAAGTTTTCTTCTACGTCTTGGTGTCAGACAACAAAAATTAACATCTGTAAGAATGGATCACAAGATCCAGTGGTCATATTTCAAAGGCCGAATGCATGACTTTCCTTCAACATACCTCGACCTCCATATCGGAAGAATGGGAATGTCTAAGCCAGAAATAACAAATTTTTTATCTACTGATGGAGTATTTCGCTACGTATGATCAAGTTTCTGATCAGGGAGAACAGCTACAACATGCAGGTCCAAGAACTGTATCAATGTTGACAGAGAAGAAATCAAACAGGAACAAGCTCGTCATATGACTATTGCAGGAAACAGGAAATTTTTGTGAGACCGGAAATAAATGCAAATGAATGTTCTACATTTTTCTAGGCAGGCTGTCATAACACCGAGCTCTATTTACTGCGTTAAAGATTAAATAAAGCGTAAACTTGACTATGAAGAACTATCCCGACTCCAAAATAACACTTTCATAGTGACGAAAATTGTCAGTGCCCTTTTAAGCTCATTCGTGGTCAGCCCCAACGATCTCAATATTAAGTCAGGATGACATTGATTACAAGGCATTGACAAAGCTCAAACAACAAGACAATTAATATATTCAGTAATTCTCCTAAAAAACATGTTGTGATCAGCTTTATGGATTGTCCGTGTAATTGCGACTCTTTCAGGTTGATTATGTATTATGTGAAGTCTCCAATGTTCCTTCGAATCCTTCTAATGCTAGCATAAATAATACTGGATCCCTGTACAGTATGTCGTCCATTGTCTATTTTTATAGAGTTTGTTCAGGATGTCTTTTGTTAAGAGCGTTTGTTCAGGTGATGTGTTAAGATTGTTTGTTCAGATAATGTATTAAGATTGTTCAGGTAATGAATTAATATTGTTTGTTCAGGTAATGTGTTAATGTTGTTTGTGTAGAGGTATTTGGTATTAAAATTGTTTGTGCAGTATTATATCTAAAGCAATCATTTACCAGAACATCTGTTCTATGAATTTTTTCAGAGAATGTTCTCCCAGAATCATTTTTGTCAGTCTGCTTGATTTACTGCTTGAATCCAGGAAGAACGCTCATGAAGAACAAGAACATTTAACTAGAGAAAACATGATTCAATAACATACAACCCTAACCCAGTAATAAATGATCACACAACAAGGTGCGTGTGTTTATTATACATATCAAACCTTAACCCTAAATAACGTACAGCATACATTGGAATAAAACCAACTTGTGGTGACCAGAAAGCATATTAATTGTCACCTGATGATTTATAGAACATATTAAATTATAACACTCTTATTATGATAATATTAGCGACTCTGGTATTGCTTTATATACAAAGCCAAGTAAAAACAATAAATCAATAGCTTACCTGGCAAAGATTATTTGACTCTTCAACCAAATAAGACGGCCATTCTGACGTACAGCCTTGCTGTTGCCCGTGGCGACGTCTATTCTCACGTCCAGTCTTGCTGTTGGCCTGTGGAGACGTCTCGATTGAGTTGCCTAAACTACCACCTTCCTCCCTTACCTTGACTCTCATATATTTCCAAAGGTTGACCGAAAATGGGATGAGATGATGTAGTTAGTTCTAACGATCGTTTCCCCTATCTTCTCCTGACTCAGCTATTCAACCACCAGGTCAGAATTTACTTTGATTTGTTTGCTAAGCAGGAGAGTGTCGAAGTCGAGGTTGGAGAAGGCCAGGTAGCAGAAGCTCGTCCTAAGGGTATATTCATTCTATCCAGCGGCCGACCTCAAACACGTATTCATCATTTACAACATAATGTGCATTCAAATATGAATTTTTCTCAAAAGTTAATTAATAATATTACATTTGCTAGCATATTATGCCTATTTAAGCCTTGATTAGGTATTTAGAAGAAAACTTGTCCTCAGAATCTGTCCTTAGCTGAGAACTTGTCCTCAAGCTAAGCTGGTTAAAGCAGCGATCATCCCCAAAGACGCACCCATCAATTTTAACGTATTGTATTATAAAAATATATTGCTCTCCTATAGAAATTAATCTTATCATATATTAAAGTTTCAGGCATAGTTAGGCGCAGGTATGGTCAGGTGTTCAGGTTATGTTTTGGCGATTATTTGCATTTGAAGTGTGTGAGGGAAGCATTGGCAGAGTTGCAATTCGAACAGATGACGTCATGCAAACACTGTTCGATAAATGTTCGAACGGTTACCATTTTTCTCCAACCATTTCTTGAACGTCACACCCTCCAGAAGGGTACAAAAAAAAATGTCTCGTGATTCGCCAATTTGGTGACATTTATGCATATATTTTCATAGATATTTAGCATTTTATTGGTTAATTATAAATGCATTAATTTATTACAATTTTATTGGTTTATTCAGCGTGTTATTCATTTCTTAGTGTACAATCCATTATCAATCACCGACAGCAGCACATATAGCACGAGGGGGAAATTAAGAGGAGAAATCATCGTTGTATATTATTTATTGAAAATCGTCGTTTGTTCCAGCGTGGATGATTGGTCGTTGTGGCATCTATCGCCCGATGCCGTAGCCTGGAGGAGGGGGAGATTAGCTTATCAATGGGAGTGTGTTTATGTGGTGAGAGCAAGGAAGGGGGGGGGGGGGGAGTAAGAGGTGAGAGTCAGAGGAGGGCAGAGATGAGGAGTTATTTAGGAAGGAGGAGGGAGGCTTATGTTCCCACCAATATGTGTGGGAAAACACACATACACACACACACACATCTACAGGCTGCTTCCTATGAATGTATGTGTGTGTGCGTGTGTTAGAAATATATCTAATAGATATAATAGAAAAATATATTGGTTAGAAAGGCGGGGTCAAAGAGCTATTAGCTCGATTCTGCAGACACAAATAATAAATACTAATAGAGTAAATACACACCTGGAACATCCATGATCTCAATAACACTGTTGGAATTTAATTAGTATATTTTACCCACTGTATCGGAACATGAAATAATCGCTCAGAAAGAAGCTCTGAGTGATTATTAGAATGAACACACAGTCGTTATCTAGAACGAATGACAGTCGAAAAACGAGTCTTAAATGCAGATCCTTGACCCTACAACCTCATCTAAGGGAGTAACACTATATGAGTGAAAACAAAAGTACCAATAAGGGCCTACTGAAAGTGACTCCCAGTCTAGACTGGGATCAGGAGGAAGGAGGCTTAAAGTATTTAACACCAAAATGTAAACACTGACAAGGCGATGAGTCGCAATAACGTGGCTGAAGAATAATGACCAGACCACACACTAGAAGGTGAAGGGACGATGACGTTTCTGTCCGTCCTGGACCATTCTCAAGTCGAGAATGGTCCGACAGAGAACCCTAACGAAGTAATGACACTCTATAGATAAGTCACAATCGACTTGAGAATGGTCCAGGACGGACCGAAACGTCGTCGTCCCTTTACCTTCTAGTGTGTGGTCTGGTCAACACCGACAAAGTACCATACCCAACATCGATCACTGAAACACTTCCCCCTCCCCTCAGCAACACAACCCGCAAAACACAAGCCCAACAACATACTGGTGGAGACAGCAGTTCCTCCAGCGCCTGCACCGTGGCCGAATCCCGTATAGGCGCCCCCAAAACCTCCAGTGTAGCCTCCATTGTATCGTGGACCGGGGTACCCACCGCCATGAGCACCGCCACCGTGCAAGCTACCGAACCCGCCCCCGTAGCCCGGTAGTGCACGAGCCACACCCAGCACCACCACCAGCGCCACCATCACCACCACGATCTGTTGGGGAAAAAATGGAAGGGAACTATCAGGAGAAAGCGTTAATCCAATACTAAGTAATTTTGTTTAACAGGATTGATAATTTGTGGAAAAGTTACCGGATGATTATTTCAAGCGCAGGTGAGATATATATGAGTGAATTTGGGTGACTTTAAATAGGAGCCGCCTCATAGTGGCCAATATAGGCCTTCTACAATTTCATTCATTTGTATTTTCTAATATTCGAATGACTTCAAACAAATCATTCAGCATATATTACGGAGGGGACATTAATTGGGGCTCGAACCCTGCCAACTTAGCCTAGAACTCGACATCAGAATCAGAACATGGAAATCCACAAAGGATTGTGCCAAAGAGTTTACAAGCAGTTTTCTGCACTGAGAACAGGTTGAGTTTTTGCAACAAGACTGTCTAGATGTGGATTTATTTTCGAAAAAGATTAAACCGAAATGTTAGTCAATTATTTTTCTCGTAGATATTCAGTGAGCTGAATTTGATCATAGTGCCATGTTCATGGGCTCAACACCCAGCTCATAGGGCTCAAGCACCTAGCTCTCAGGGCTCATATACCTAGCTCGTAGGGGTCAGTACTAAGCTCGTAGTGCTTACTTCAGTCGCCATAACAAGCTTAATGAAAGGAAAACTTACAAGCTTAGTCATCATACTGGACAGAAGTGGCTTGACCGAGATGTTGCTTCGGCGGAGGGCAGTTGAAGAGTGGCTCCTCTTCAGCCTCTGTACCTGTTTTATATACCCGAGGCCGGTCATTCACTGGAAATTCCCCAGGGGAAAGGGAGGGGTGAGTGTGGGGGGAATGTCATCAATGGCGGGGAAAATGACTCATTGGTGTTGTAAAACATGTCATTGTTTAGGGCTGAAACACTAACAATGTTTAATTTTTTGTTCAAAGGGAAACAAAAGCAGTCGGTTGTTGATAGGGAGCAAATGTTGCAATGTTAGAGTTTGGATCGTGGGATCTGGGAGGGTAGGATAGCAGTGCTTCAGTGAGGGGTAAGAGTCAGTAGGGAAGGATAGCAGTGCTTCAGTGAGGGGTGAGAGTCCGTAGTGGAGGATAGCAGTGCTTCAGTGAGGGGTGTGAGAGTCAGTAGTGGAGGATATCAGTGCTTCAGTGAGGGGGTGAGAGTCAGTAGTGGAGGATAGCAGTGCTTCAGTGAGACGTGATAGTCAGTAGGGGCGGGGTGGTAGTGATTCAGCGAGGAAGTGTTGAGAGTCAGTAAGGGAGAGGTGGCAGTGCTTCCCTGGCATGGTAGTCAGTTGGTGAAGGTGTCAACAGTTGAGTGGGGAGTGGAAACCGGAAGGGAATGGTGACAATAGGCTTAGAGCTCAGTATCGGAAGTAAAAGTATTTCGTTTGGAAGAGTTAAAATGTTTCTCGCTGATGAAAGACTCGAGAAAGGGCATCTTGTGTCTATTTTCATTTTCATGAGAAATAAAATAAAAAATCCAGTTTTTAAAGCAACAGTGGCAAACTCTTGCCCAGAACTTGACAGCTAAACAGCAATTGCTTAATCACGAAACTTAAAATGCCGAATGCAACTTGTAACTGCTCGAAATTGCATTAATTAATTAGAATGATGACAGACCATATAATGAGGAGGCAACTCTAGCTGTATTTATAACTCTAGCTGCACTGTAACTTTTAGCGGCACTGTAACTCTACCTGAACTTGTAACTCTAGCTGCACTGTTATTCTACCTGTATTTCTAACTCTAGCTGCACTGTAATCTCTAACTGCACTGTAATCTCTAGCTACACTGTAATCTCTAGCTGCACTATAACTCTAACTGTACTTGTATCTCTAGCTGCGCTGTAACTCAAGCTGTAGTTTTAATTCTAGCTTTACTGGAACTCTTAACTGCACTGTAACTCTAGCTGTATTGTAACTCTTAACTGCACTGTAACTCTACCTGTACGCGAAACTCTTCCTGCACTTGTAGTTCTGTACATGTAGCTCTTTCCTCGCCTGTAATTCTTCCAGCCTGACTGTTTTCAAGTCTGTTTCCATGACAGTCTGTTTTAATGACAGTCTGTTGCGTGACTCTTTTTGAGCGCTTTTCTTTCATTTAGTAGTTGTTTCTTTTCTTTAATGTGTTTTTAATGCCTATGTACGACTGTCCGGGTTACGAAATTTTTCATTCAAGACAGTGAATAAGGCACCCAAGGAGGGGGGGGGGAGGTTCCAAGCGTTACTTTCTTTTACTTTCTTAATAGAGCGAGTCAGCGTCTTCAGAATGGAAAAGTCGAACTGTTGAACATATTACTGACAGGAAATGTGAAAGGTGTATTCTACTGAATTCAAAGTCGAGCTTGTAATAGAAAGCTGGGACTGGGCTTGTAAAAGAGCTGCGGGTCTGGGCT